GGTGATTTATTGCCTGATCAGTGCAAATACTGTGTTTTTAAACAGTTTTTCCTAATTTGTTGGAATACCCCCATGGCGGGGGATGTCAAGGGCTTTCTGTTTCTCATGTCACTGGGCTCTTAGCCTCGACACAGTCGTCCTTTCACAACTGAAGAGTAAATTCTCTGATCTTGTCCAAACTTTTCCTGAAGCACACTTCATGTCAGCCTCCTCTACCTTTAACAGACAAGGTCATCAGAGAATATTACCCTTGAGTTATCCAGAAGAGGAAGGCATTTACTTTAGAAAGTGCTAGAATATGAAGGTTGAATCATATACTAAGTAGCCATTTGAGACTGTCTTCTTTTACTCAGTTTAGTGTTTTTAAGATTCATTTGCGTTGTATCAGTAGATTTTTCCTCTTTATTACTGAGTAGTATTCTATTTTATGGATATATCACCACTTCTTTATCCATTCACTACTTGGTGAACATGTGAGTTATTTCCAAAATTAAGAATAAAACTGCAATGTGGTACACACACACACACACGCGCGCGCACACACACACTGGAATATTAATCATAAGAAGAACGAAATCTTGCCTTTTGCAAAGACATGAATGGAGCTTGACAGTATTATGCTAAGTGAAATAAGTCCATCAGAGAAAGACAAATACCATATGATTTCATTCATATGTGGAATTTAATAAACAAAACAGATAAAAAAAATAGAGGGGGAAAAGAGAGGCAAATCAGAGAACAGACCCTTAACTACAGAGAACAAACTGAGGGTTGCTGGAGGGGAGGTGGGTGGGAAGTTGAGGTAAATGGGTGATGGGCACTAAGGAGGGCACTTGTGATGAGTAGTAGGTGTTGTATATAAGTGGTGAATCACTAAATTCTACTCCTGAAACAAATATTACACTGTATGTTAACTAGCTGGAATTTAAATAAAAACTTGAAGAAAAAGAATAAAACTGCTAAATACATTCACATTTAGTTTTTTGTGTGGACACATAAAGAGAAATGTCTTCAATGTCTTCATTTCTCTTGGGTAAGTATGGAGTGGAACTTCCGAATCATAAAACAAGTGGATGGTTAACTTTGATCTATACTGGGGGTGGCAATCATTTTATATTCCAACCAGCAATTTATGTGGCATCCTAAAAACTTGCTAAACTCACTTTTAGTCCTAATAGACTTTTTTGTAAAATCCTTGGGATTTTCTACATAGTCAATCATGTTGCTGAAGAAAAAGACAAGTTTTCTTTACTCCTTTCCAATCTGTGCCTTAAAAAAATGCTATATTTCACTGGCTAGAACCTCTCAGTATGCTGTTGACTGTAAGTGGTGAGAATAAAAATCCTTGCCTTATTCCTAATTTTGGAAAGAAAATATTCAGTCTTAAATAGGAAAGTATGAGGTTAGCTATAGCTGTTTTTGTTGATGCCCTTTATCAGAATGAAGAAGTTCCTTTTTTTCTAGACAGTTTGCCTGATGAATAGATGTTGAATTTTGTCAAGTGAGTTTTCTGCATCTATCAAAATGATCATGATGAATTTCATTGACATTTGAATGCTGAACTACTTGCATTCCTAGGTTAGGTCCCACTTGGTCATAATACTATTTAATTCCTGCATTTTATTTGCTAATATTTTGTTAAGATTTTTTGTGTTTATAACTCCTGAGGAATATTGGTCTGTAAATTTCTCTCCTTTATTTATTAATTTTTTTAATGTTTATTTTTGAGAGAGAGAGAGAGAGAGAGAGAGAAACAGAATCCGAAGCAGGCTCCAGGCTCTGAGTTGTCAGCATAGAACCCAATGCGGGGCTCAAACTCACAAACCATAAGATTATGACCTGAGCAGAAGTCAGACACTTAACCAACTGAGCCACCCAGGTGCCCCTAATTTTCTCTTTTAAATGTCTTTGTATGGTCTTGGTATCAGGGTAATGCTGGCCTCATAATTTGAGCAGGAATGTGTTTCATGTTCCTCTATTTTCAGGAAAAGTTTATATAAAATTTTCCTCTTTTATTATTTGGTAAAATTTGCCAGTGAAGTTTCCAGAGCCCAGAGTTTTCTTTTCTGGAAGGTGTTTAACTACAAATGTAATTTCATTGTTTGGTGTAGGATTATTCAGGTTACTTGTTTCTTCTTGAGTGAGCCTGAGTGGTAGGTTTATGACTTTTGAGCAATTTTTTCCACTGCATCTAAGCTATCAAATTTATTAGCATAAAGTTGTTCATAATAGTCCCTTATTTCCCTTTTAATGTCCTTAGGATCTTTAGTGATGTTTCCTCTTTCATCTCTGATGTTCTTAATTTGTGAGTTCTCTCTTCTTTCTTTAGCAGTTCAGCTAAAATTCTTATCAACTTTATTGATTTTTTTCAAAGAAATAGATTTTGCTTTCATTAATTTTCTCTTCTCTCTGTTTTCAATTCCATTGATTTCTAGCCTAATCTTTATTGCTTAATCTTTTATTTATTGCTTTTAGTTAAATTTGTTCTTCTTTCTAATCTATTCAGGTAGAAGTTCAGAAAATTGGTTTGAGACCATTGTTCTTAAACATTTAATGCTATAAATTTTCCTCGTACTGTTGCTTTAGCTGAATTCCACAAATTTTATATGTTGTCTATTTAATTCATTAAAATATTTTCTAACTTCCTTGTGACTTTCTCTTTGACTAATGGGTTATTTAGAAGTGGGTTATTTCATTTCCAAATACTTGGGTGATATTCTAGATAACTTCTCATCGTTGATTTCTACTCTAATTATTTTTTAGTCAGGCACATAATTTTCATATTTTCAATTATTTTAAATCTGCTGAGACTTAATTTACAGCTCAGAATATGGTCCATTCATCTTCTATGTTTACCATACTTAGTTTCACATGCTTCACTACAGAAATATTCATATGATTGACTTTGTGGGGTTTCCCCAGCCTCCACTGTAGGTGTTATATAATACACAGCATATGCACCACATAAGCTTCTTAAAATCTTAAAAACCGTGAATTCTTAATTTTTTTTAATGTTTCTTTTTGAGAGAGAGAGACAGAGTGTGAGCAGGGGAGGCGCAGAGAGAGAAAGGGAGACACAGAATGCAAAGCAGGCTCCAGGCTCCAAGCTGTCAGCACAGAGCCCGTTGCAGGGCTTGAACTCACAAACTGTGAGATCATGACCTGAGCCAAAGTCGGGCACCTAACCAACGGAGCCACCCAGGCACCCCTGAAAAACTGAATTCTAAAACGCAACTGGCTTCAGGGATTTCATATAATTGTGGACTGATTTCTCGGTTACATTATCATACATGTGATCCAGCATACGTTCACATCATTGACATAAAAACACAAAAATTTAAAAATTCATCGAAGAACTTTAAGATTCTAGAGATTATTTCCCTAGACCATGGAGACCATGGCTCCTAGCCAGAAAATTCAGCAGTGATAAATTTATGGTATAATAGTGTTGAGTTTTCTTTGGCTCCAGCTGCTTTTCTTAGAAGAGATCTCCTTTGAAATGCTAAACTATCTGACAGGCAAATTCGGGTGGCACTTCTTTGTTTTGGATTTTCTTAGACGTGATCAGAATTGTCAAAGGCAATTTTATTGCTTTGCTGTGATGAGTCCTAAAAAATTCCAAGGACATCCCTGAGGAGACAGAGAAGATAAACAGCTTATGACAAATATCAACCTCATTCTAGATCAGAACTATCTTGCTTATTGAAATCCTATAATTGTCTATTAAAACTAAGAAAATTGCTTATCAACCAAGAAAGCTGGCAGTTTTAGAATAAATCCTTACTAACATTGTTCCCAAATCTGTAGTAATGAACCAGAGGAAAAGAGTACATTTAAGCGTGCTTACAATTGCAAACCTTAGCCAAATTTAAATGCCAATCTTTATTAGAAAATATTGTTGAATGGAAATGATAAATTCAGGGGGCCTCAATTTTGTAGGACTTGGGGAAAAGCCTCAAAATCAGCAAGTAGGAGTTAAATTAGCAAGTTCAATAGACAACGTGTAGGTCAGCCAGAGGCATGGCTGGAGGCAGACAATGCAAGAAGAGAAAGCAGGCAAAGCTATGACACAGTTGGCATTCTTTCAACCACAAGAATTTGAGGAATCAAGAGAATTGTGGGAAACTGACTAGATATCCTAAAGATTGATGCCACAACTACTCTGCATATTTTCCACTCCTTGTTGCCCAGGACGTAGGACCCCACCTTATTTCATTAACATTATAAAGAGAAATTCACATGATAATGAGGAAAACAGTAACTAGGGGTGGAGCAGAAGATCATCTGGTTAGTTCTATCTTGACAGAGTCTTGATCACGAGGTTAGGTTTGATGCCATTAAAGAAAAGAATATTAAAGATTACCCTTAACTGGGTGTTCCTAATGTATTGCTTCCTCTCATGCAGTCTGGGTGGACTCCATGTTAAATAATAAAAGTGATGTGGTTGTGTTCAATTTGAATGCCCCTGTCTGCTCTTAGATGCCTGCTTACAAGAAAATGTCTAGGAAGCTAAGATTCAGGACTAGAACCTGATGGATGCCCCATTTCCCGGTTCTCTGTGCAGGGCAGGGGACGGGTATCAGCGACTGTATTGCTGGGAGAGCCCTATCTCTTCATGCTTGGGCCGGGAAAAGAGGGTGGAAAGAGCATTCTTCATGGGGCACTCATTTTTCACTTATATTTCACCCTAATTGAAAAAAAAAAAAAAACCTAGATTAGGACGTTTCAAAAACAAATTACTAAACTCAACCTTAGCAGGGATGTGACTTAGTAAGTCCTCTTCTGATTCCACTTCCATTTCAAATCTAGGAAACGGGCACACTTGTCTGTCTCAGTCCCCTCCATTGTATGAATTAAACTTCTGGTGCAGAATGGAGGTCTGCTTAAGTAAAAGGTAGGAATGCACAGAATGCTTTGAAGAGAGAAAAAGGCCAAGTCCGTGCTGCAGGCAGTCATGACCAGGATTCTTAAGCCCTGTGAGAAACCAAGCTGTACAGGATTCCGTTCGAGCACTGGCTACTCTTGGTTGCATTCACTGACCACTTCGAGTGAAAGCAAAGTTCAGCTTTCCGAGCTAAGCTGTGCACCTGAATGCTTTGGAAACTTGTCTTCATTTTATTTTCTTTCAAACCCCTTGCAGCCTGCTGACCAGGTAAAAGAATAGGACATATGGTCTTTATTTAATTCCTTCATGCTCACCGCCAAGACAAGAGGAGGTTGAAGGGTGAAGATCTCTTGGCTGTCTCCAATGCTTTGCTTTAATCTTGCTTTATTTACTAAGAGCTAATAAAAAATCTGAAGTGCTTAACTCTCAAGTGTTGTTTTTCTTCTGGGCATTGGTATTTGATTTGTTCCTTGGCCTGAACCCCCCGCTCTTTTTACTGCTGAATGTGCCATTGTGAACCTTCTCTTTAATGCTGCATTCAATCTCCTTTCTTTGATATATTTTTAGCTCCTAAAAGTGTGCTTTTTTCCACTCTTATTCAAACGACTTTAAGTTATTTTGAAATGTAACCGCATTGGATTTTTAAAGTAAAATAATTATAAAACTAATATTTACATGAAAAATTTTGGAAAAAGAAATCACTTATCTTGCTGCCCAATTGCAATTAGCTCTTTATTATTCTCCTTTAAAAATGTATTGCATTTTGCACACTGACAGAGAGTGCATAGAATTCTGCCCAAATGTCTTTCACTCCACATTATCCTACCCCTGTGGTTCCGTATTTGCTAATTCTGCAGGTTACTAGGGAAGATATTCATGTGACATTGCCTCAACTGACGTAGCCCGTCTGGCTATCGATAGGACATCTAGATTGATAATATCGATTTCTAAGGCTATGCGCCCAAGGGCAGGAGCTTTGTAAAGGAATCAAACCTGCAACAAATTAACATACAAGGGCTAATAATGTGTGGGGTTTGGGATATGAAAATGACAAGTTCTAAAAACTTTGTGACTAATAATTCAACAAGAACAACTCTCTTTGGTTACTTTCAGGACCTATAGCTGTAGGCTGGGGAAGTGAGCACGGATTATGATAGGAGTATTCGCATCCTTAAAAAAAAAAATACTAATGTAATTATCTATCCCCATAGAATCAATTTCCTGGCATATCTTTTCCGAAATTTTTCCTGAAAATGTGATTCTTGGTATTCAACCTGCAGGTGAAACTAATCATACTGATATCAAAACCTTTACTATTTGGACAAAGGTAAATATTTCCTCATCCATTGCATAGTGAGTAGCCTTTTTAATATCTTCCCACATTCTGATATTTTATTTGGAGCTTTTAAAAAATTGGATTGCTCTTCTAAGAGGTTTGTATTTCTCTACAGGCAATAAAAATGGAAAATAAGACCTTGATAAGTCTGATCAAGCCTGATCACCTTGTTTTTGGTAACCAGGAAACTGTAACATAGACAAAAGCATGCTGTTAGGCCTTTGTAAATTACTCACTGCACTACCTCCTTTTCAACACTGTGCTTCTTATATATCAATTTTCTTTCTCTTAGAAATCCTTTTAATTTGTTAATAAAATACTTAAAATATATAGAGATCCTTGAGATTCTTGATATGGTCAACTCCTAGTCAAACACATTTTTCAATACCAAAACCCTTTAATAGTGTTATGAATTAATTACTTTTTCCTTGCTCACTCCATTTTTATGTCTTTTTTTCTCTTTTAATACATTTTCTTAAACTCTATTTTATTTTATAATAAATATGACTGTTTTGTTTTGGTTTGGTTATGTAAATTGGGGTTTCCTTGGGTATCTTTAAAAAATCCCATTATTCTAAAATATTCTGTTACTTTATGTGTTTCTCTTGTGAGCAGCGTATAGGTATATTTTATTTTTTATTCAGTCTCACAACCTTCACGTTCAATAAGAGTATCAATGTTTTTGCATTCATTTTTACTGACCAATTAAATTGATACCATCTTCTGTTTCTCTTCTTTTTCTTCTTTGCTATTATTTTTGTTTTCCTTTTCTGCTTCTGTGGGATTATAGGCTTTTTAATCCACTCTTCTTTTAAAAAGATACAGTTTGCATTTATATTATTTCAGTGGCTACTCATGCATGTTGACATACAGAGCAATTCTCAATTTGTCTAACAACTTTAAGGTTAGTTGGTAGTCCCACACTTTTCCAGAACACACCAAGGACTTTAATGCCCTAAATAACCATAGAAACTTCCACCTCCTCTATTTTATCACTGTTTATAATTTTACTTTTATCTCTTTCAAAAAAAAATAAACTTAATTCTTGCCAGTTATGTCTACTTATATATTTTGTTTCTTGTACCCCCACATTTCCTTCTGAGCTTACATTTCCTTGTACAGAAGCCCCTCCCTCCTTGTTACTTTGGTGCAGGTCTCTGGCGGGGGATAAATTCACTTAGCCTTTGTGTAACTAAAAATGCCTTTATTTTGCTTTTGCTTTTGAATGAGAGTTAACTGGGTATAAAGCCTTCGGTGGACATTTACCATCAGCACTTGGCGGCTATTAATCCATTATCTCCTGGCATCTATTTCCAATTATGAAGAGATGTGCTGGTCTCTGGCTGCCGACAGTCTGTTCTCTGTCTTCTCTCTGGCAGCTCTTAAGGCCTTTTGTATATTACCCTTCATGTTCTGTAGTCTCATTACAATGTGCATAGGTATGGATTTATTTTCACTTGTTCTCCTTGGTACTTGGGGCGTTCTTTTAAATACAGGATTCATACCTTTCTCCAGTGTAGATATTTTTTAGCTATTGTAACAACCGTTTCCTCCATTCTCAGCTTCTCACTTTTCTGACACCACTCCGAAAGGATTGGGGGTGGGTGTTGTGGTACCTCGTGACAGCCTGGTAAGGGTGGAAGTCTAAGCCCTTCATCCTGCCTTTGCCGGGGGGTGAGGGAGGGGGTGAAGCTGCAGTCTTTTCTGTGGTGTTTGGCTATCGGAGAGTGGTTTGTGTCTAAAGGTTCTTTATGTTGTCAGTTTGCCCTTTTCCTGGTTCTTTGGCTAGAGAGAGAAGGCTTTTTTTTTTTTTTTTTTTTTTTAATCTCTGTCTGTTGGCATTTCCAGGCATCCAGGCTGATGCAAAAAGAAAACCTCATGTGTCGAGGTCCCTAGTCAGTCTGCCTTCTCTTCTCTACTTTTCAAAGTATTGTCATGTTTGTTTTCTGTGTAATGTCCTGAGTTTTTAGTTTTACTTGCCTGGAGAAATAGGGAAAAGAATGTCTACTACTGTATCTTCCTGGAAACGAAACCTATGTATTTAGGCTTTGTCAGGCTTCTCTATAAATTAATTTTAAGGGGGAAGAGCTTAAATATTGATTTAATTATTATTTTTGGCTGTTCTTTGCATTAGATTTCTTCACCTGTCTTTACATTTTGATTTGCAAGATCATGTGGAGAGGGATATGTCATTTTTATGTCTCTCTTGCTCTTTCCCTTTCAACGCTCACCAATCTCTTTCGAGTAATTTTGTTTCTTTCTCCAGACCCTGCATTACAACTCTAGAACCAGGTTTAGAATGTAATTTGGAGCCTATGCCCTTTGCAGTGAGATAGAGATCCCACAGACCTGGGCCCTGAGCTACCTGGTAATCTGGTTAAGCTTCTTGTTAACCAACTATGCCTGAGTCTTTCCACTGGCTTGGCCCACAGGCAGTTATGAGCTATGGCCCCAGGCAGAAAATGGCAGAAAGGTTTTGTGTCTCCTTTCATTAGTCAGGGAAGAGGAAGTCCCATCAGCCTTAGCTGTTAGCAATGAGCCTATCTTAGTGCATCTCAAGTGGAGATGGAGAACCAGAGAGTACTTTAGGTCTCCCTTATTGCAGAAGGTCAACTGTCTGCTCTCAGACCAGATTCCAAGAAGTCTCTTGCTTCACCTCTGCCTACCATTTTTGCTTCTCTATTTCTGGACCATGGAAACGGTACCCTCATTACACGCTCTTTCATTTTTATTTTCTTGAAATCTTTTTGGTATAGGATTGCCACGTGCTGGGAGTAGAAACTGTACCAAAGCATGAATTTCCTAGACCATCTAGATGGAAAACATACCTCTTTCTTAAGCATGTTTTGGAAACACTTGGGGGAAATGGTTTATGTAAGATAACGAGCTCTAAAGTCCAAAATTAGCTCTGATTAAGTGAGTTTCATGATAGAACCAGTTCTTTTTAAGTGACATCATATACTTATTAGCCATTTTGATATATAATTATGCAGTTCTCTTACATCCCCCTTTACTTCAAGCCATCATCCAAATATGGGTAGATGATAACTTTTGGCTAAATTGTTCTTCAGTATTATTGGGTACGTATGAGCCAAATGTTCACTATGATTAAACTTAATTTCTTGTCAACTTTTTTTTTCTAGTGTTAATAACTGTCCTATTTCCCAGTCCTTTTACCTACGGTTAATTCTTCCAATACAGTATACTATTATGGCAATCCAGATTTCCATGCAATCAAATCACTCAGTTCATGTATCAGTTATTTTTCTCCTTTATGACTTCCGGTCTAGTACCCTACATCTTCATGTTCCAGTGGGACCTGTTACTTTCTTGGACTTCTAAAACAGCTGCCTTCTTTGAAAGTTCTCTTTACCATCAACCTTCTCCTCTTTCTTGTGTTGTATCTCCTGCCTTCTAGGACCTCATCTTTTTCTTAGTTCCCTGTAGCATGACCCATTCTAAGGTTCCTAAAGAAAGATGCATTAGCGATACCTTTTTAAAAATATTTGTTTTGCTTTCATTTCAAATGCGTAATTTGGCTAGTACAACATTCGAGGTTGGAAATTATCTTCCCCTAGAATTTCTGGAATTTACTTCTTTTTCTTCCACCTACTGAAGTTTCCAAAATAGTTTTCATTCCTGATCTCTCATTAGGACCCAACTTTTCTCCCTGGAATATCTTACGATCTTCTTATCATTTATGTTCTGTAATTTCACAATGATGTACTGGGATGTGGGTCTTTTTTTAATCTTTCAACTACACTCTTAGTGGGGCTTTTCAATCTGGAGATTTATGTACTTGAGTTCGATGATTTTTTTCTTGAATTAAGTAGCACAGCTAAACTCCCTTTGGAATTTCGTTCTTCCTCTTTGCTGTGGTCTAGATGTTTGTGTCCCTTCAATTTTCATATTTGAAATCCTAATCCCTGAGGCAACAATATCAGGAGGTGGCACCTTTGGGAGGTGATTAGGTCATGAGAGAAGACTCTGCATGAATGGGATGAGTGTCTATTAAAGACATTCCATAGAGTTTGCTGGCCCCTTCTACCACATGAGGACATAGCAAGAAGTTTTTAGTCTGCAACCTGAAAGAGAGCCGTCACCAGAACCTGACCATACTGCTATTCAGATGTTGGACTCCTAACCACCAGAATGGTGAGCAATACCTTTCTGCTGTTTAGAAATCATCTAGTCTATGGTATTTTTGTTACAGCAATCCGAATGGAATTATGAGAGGAAATGGAATTTTGTCTTTCCCTTTCTAGAGGGAAGCAGGGCCGGGTTGGCTGATTGGGATGGTCTGTACACCCGGAGCTTTATAGGTCACGTGATGTGTCAGTAATTCCTTTGGTCAACATGTGAGGAACCTAAGAAAGATGGTAAGTGGGGTGTGGTTTGGGCTCCTGTCCAATTGGTCTTCCTACAGAGTAAGAGGATCCCAGCAAAAGATCACCAGGACTCCAGGGCATCTCACTTTGGGATTTTCCTGAAAACAGAGTCTGAGATAATGACTTGAGTGGAGTTCATTTCAGAGGTGGTATTTGGAACAGAAGTGAGGGAATGAGGAAAGAGACAGGGAAGGGAGAAAAAGCCACAAAAGAAAGAGTTACTGAGTTGGTAAACAGTGTAGGCGACCAGGGCACAAACCCAATTAAGTTGTGGGTGTGCATATGTGTGTGTGTGTGTGTAAAAGAGTATTACACAGCCATCAAAAATAATGAAATCTTGCCATTTGCAACCATGTGGATGGAGCTAGATTATGCTAAGCGAAATAAGTCAGAGAGAGAAAGACAAATACCATACAGTTTCATTCATATGTGGTCTTGAAGAAACAAAACAGATAAACATATGGGGGGGAAGAAGAGGGAAATAAACCATAAGAGACTCTTAAAGACAGAGAACAAACTCAGGGTTGATGGAGGGAGGTTTGTGGGGGAGGGGCTACATGGGTGATGGGGGTTAAGGACACTTGTGACGAGGGGCACCGGGTGTTGTATGTAAGTGATGAATCACTAAATTCTACTCCTGAAACCAATACTACCATATATGTTAACTGACTAGAATTGAAATAAAAATGAAAAAAAAAGACCATCTGGGGAACGAGTAGAACAGTTCTCAGAAACATTACATCAAGTGAAATGAAAGTAAGCAATTTATCTATTGATTCTCACAGCCCCTTTTATAAGGGTCAGCTCTGGGACCATTAACATCCCCCTTACACTTCAGGGCAGTGGCTGTTCAAGGCCGAAAGTGCCTCTGTCTGTCTCCCGCCCCCTGCTTTGGAGAGAGAGAGCCCCCAACAGCCAGACAAGGCAATGCTGACAGTGAGATGTGGCACGCTGGCAGAATGCACGGAATGTTTATCCCAGCTTCAGGGAAAGCAACCCTGATACACAGCGCTGGTAGAACGACATGACATCAGTGACCAAACAGGACAGAGCCGCACCTGCCTAACTCAAGGGCATCAAGGTCCCAGGGTTCAAGCAGAGATCTTCCAAGGAGTCCACAAAAAGGCCCATGTGACGAACCCCCCCCCAAAACCAAAACAGCTTTAAACATCGGCTGGGCATAGAGAGAGCAAAGCCGGCATTCCTTTCCCCCTTCCTTTTGCTCTTCCTCGGTATGCCCAGATCCCTGGGCCATCTGGCCAACATGCCAGGGGACCACGGAAGGGGAGAAATCCGAGTCTGTGCCCCCTTTCTCCACTGGAGGCTTCAAGCCTGGGAAAGCAATGAAGTGCTTGCTGCCTTTAAATCAAAGTTCAGCCTTTTCATTAATATCCTGGATTGGACACTGATTTGCAAACCAAGACTGTTTGTAACTCCATAACCATAAGAGCTACATGTTACCTAATAACGACCAGAAACATTTTGTCTTGGGGCAGAGATAAATCAAGCATGGGAGATAAATAAAGTCACTCTTTGATCGCAGCATCGCAGCATCGGCTGTCCTTATTTGATCTCCGTCTGTCAGGCCATTTTAATGAAATAAAATTCATCTTTGTTTCACGCCTCCCCCCCCCCCCCCAGGATGACCCTAGGTCCGGAGCCCGCCCGTCCCTCCCAGGCATGTAACACCCTCCTCCGTCAAATTCTATGCTCCAGCCACACTGTGATTCTGTCACTTCCTGCAGGGAACTCGAATGTAGCTCTTCTCAAGTCCTTCATAGTATTGTTCTTTCTCCCCTCCTCCTACCTTCCACCTTCTCTTTGACGCCACCTAATCACTTAGCACTCACTGGATCTCAACTTGAATGTCGCCTCCTCCAGGAAGATCTTCCCCAAGCATCTAAGTCTGTATCACACGTCATTCAGGTGCTCCATCCTTCCTAGCATCTGTCGCTACCATATTTCCTTGTTTACTTTGCACTGCGCTCTGTGCCCTCACTCACTACCACAATCTCTGTAAGACGCAGTCATTCTGGCTCACCTGTGCAGCACCAGAAGTCAGCATAGCGTTAGGCCTACGGTGGGAATGCCTGTCAAATGAAATAATTTGTACGTATATGTTCATAAAAGATCTGACACACGTACACAAGTTAAGCCATAAATATTTTTAAAACGCAGCTTTGCAGAAAAGAATAAAATGATAAGACATTGGAGCCATACTGGGAAAGTCAGGATTTATGGGGGCTCTATACTTCTCACGATAGTGTTTCTCAAAGTGTGGCCCCTAGACCAGCAGCATCACTGGGAAACTTGTCAGAAATGCAAATTCCCAGCACCTCCCCACATTCAGAAACTCTGAGGGGGGGAGTCCAACACCTGTGTTTAACAAGCCCTCCAGGGCATGCTCAAGTTTGAGAACCCCTGCCCTAATATTTGAAATGCCCCTCCCTGCAAAGTGCTGAAGTCATATTTGGAAGGAGGAGATGATGTCTATTAAACACCCCTGAAAACCAAGACCCATATGATCTCCTTCTTCTTGATGCTATTGAAGTTAACCATCCAAACTAAAGACCGTCCAACACAATCCATTACCAGAGGATTCAGCTGGAAAGGATTACAGCCAAGCAACACTGTCAACATCTACAAACGGGGTCCAGGTGCATGCATCTGGTACTCCTGGCTAGGAAATCGCTGGATTACTTGCTCCATTTAGTTCTACATTTTAACAGTCTGACATTTTAAAGTGCATGGCTGGGTTTTTAATCAGATGGGCCCATCTCTGTACCTATCTTGGCATGACGACTTACTTTGTGGGAGAGTTGAATTAGCAAGGGTGTTAAGCCTCAGGTTGGGCCAAAGGGAGAGGAAATGATACTTGAAATGTCTGGCCAATCCAAATGTGACCTCAAAATGTGAGATCGAAACCTCCAGGTGGACAGAGACAGCGAAGAGCCACGTAGAAACCATCCAAAACCTTCAGGGAATATTTGCTGATCCCTTCACCCAGGGACGCTGGATATTCTTAAAACACTATCAAGTTCAGGGAGATGAAAGGCTTGTATCTTAGACAGATTCTGTTGTATTCGTGAGGGTCACCAATGGGACAGACCAAGGCACAGGAAGGAAAATGCCTTTAAATGGAGCATGTAAGTATGTGTGCATGCATGAACACACAAACCAAAACACAAACAAGAAACGAAACAAGAAGAGCCAAGGAAAGGAAGGGAAAAGAGTGAAAATGTTGAGTTCAGGTTAACCAAAAAACAAAACAAAAAATGTATCAGACACTATGTTGGGGACGGAAAAAAGGGAGAAGGGTACAAATGCTCACCATCTTAGTGCCAAAGGCTATCTACTTATCCTCTAGAGTGGCCAGTAAGGAAGCTGGTAGCTACATGAGGCTGCTTAAATGAAAAGCAATTGCCATCACCCAGAGGGCACTTGTTGGGATGGGCACTGGGTGTGGTATGTAAGCAATGAAACACAGGAATCTACCCCCAAAACCAAGAGCACACTCTACACACTGTATGTTAGCCAACTTGACATTAAATAATATTACAAAAATAATAACAAAATAAAAAATAACAAAAACCAAAATAATAAAATAAAATGAGGACGCTAATCAAAAAAATAAAAACTTATTAGAAAAAAAGCAATTAAAAGTCAATAAAATAAAAAATTCAGGGCCTCTGTCACACAAGCCACATTTCGGCTGCTTGGGAGTCCCATATGGCTACCATATTGATTGAACATCAGGGATTAGAACACTCCCATCATCCTAGAAAGTCTTCTTGGACAGTGCTGCTCTACAGCTTACTCTAAGATCAAACTTGCACTTTTTTCCATCCTTCCAGGAATATCCACACTCATAGACTACGGAAAACCAAAAGGTAAATTGCCAAGGACACAATTTTGCTTTGTTGATGAATTAGATTTCTCCCTGAAATTCAGCGCAAACAGGGCCTGACTTGTTTGTCTACACATCTCTCAAGCATACACACTCAACATGATTCAACAGAACAAACGTTAACCTGAATGTCTTCTCAGGGCAGGACACTGCCCTGGGCACCACCTGAAGAGTAAAGATGCATAGAATGTAGTCCCTGTTCTCCAAGGAACTTATTTGACAGAAGGTATAAGACCAGGACATAACGGTGATATAAGAAAAGCAGGGATGTTGGGAGAGACATGAACGAAGCTGTGGGTCCTCCTAGTCCACACTCCCCCCACAGGGTTGCTGTGCATATAATAGCCTTGTTAAAAATACAGATGCTCTGTATTTATAGGTCTGATTTTGCTTTTTGCTTGTTTGCTTATTCATTTGCTTTTTTTAGATTCCATATAAGAGTGAAGCAATACGGTATGTGTCTTTCTCAATTTGACTTATTTCACTGAGTATGACATCCTCTTAAGTCCAAATTGATGGTTGCCAGAGGGAAGGAGGGAAGGGAGATGGGAAAAAATGGGTGGAGGGGAGTGGGAGATACAGGCTTCTGGGATGGAATAAATAAGTCAGGGGAATAGAAAGTACACAGAGAGTATAGTCAATGGTACTGTAATAGCACTGTGTGGTGTCAGCTGGTAGCTACGTTTGTGGTGAGCACAGCATAATGCAGAGACAGCCTGAATCACTATGTTGTACACCTGAAACTGATGGGGCATTGTGTATCAATTGTACTTAAATTTTAAAAATTAAAAAAAAAAAGTATGCTCCAGCCCCATCTGAAGAGAGGGATATTCCTTGGCTCTGGGAGAGGCTTCCAGCAATAGGCACGTACCTCCTTCATGGAAGCAGAGACAGGACAGTACAGAGGAGTGAGCATTCTCTTTTAGGTCAAGAGAAGGGGGGTTTGTTACCTAGTTTTGGCACAAATACTTGTGTGTTGTTGATCAAACCACTTCGACAATTTAACTAGTGACTGTTGTCAAAATGTCCCCATCCTGATTTGTCCTTGAATCTCCAAAAGCCAAAGGAATAGTTTAAATTCTTGAGTAGGTGGGGTGCCTGGGTGGCTCAGTTGATTAAGTGTCTGACTCTTGATTTCAGCTCAGGTCATATCTCACGGTTGTGAGATTGAGCCCTGCATTAGACTCTGCGCTGGGTAGGAAAATGAACTCAGGAGTCAGTGAGATCTGAATAGAATTAACAGGGAAACAAAGTCTTGAAGTCACTAGAATTATTCAAAGGCTTTAAGCCAAGCTAGAAGACAATATAGCCAATCCTCTGGTGACAGAGGAATCATCTGCTATACTTATCAAGCTATTAATTAATATGGGGGAGGGTCAGCAATCCTTAAGGGAAAGATCACACTTTTTATAGATAGAACAACTTTGGAATATAGGAAAGCATTCTTGGGGATTGAAATATGTGAAGCTGAGAGCAGCTGGTAAATATTACGTCCCAAGATGCTGTACTTATCAGATGACAAAAATGCTGAGACTCTTAGCCAGTAACTAACTTGATGAGGCCACATTATCAAGAGATATCTCTTGGCGCATCCCTTGGTAATAACTGCTTTAACATCAATGGCTGATTGACTTGGGCCAGAGAGATGGAAACCCACCTGTGTTTGAGCAGGACCAGAGAAATCAACATTAAGGTTGTAGTTGATTTTAATAAAATCATAGCCTACAAAGCACATCAGTATTGCAACTTTAACTTTTCTATTTCCATCTAGGGTTTCTTTTTGTCAATCTATTCTGGGATATTGCAAACTCATCCCTTCTTTCTTTCTTTCTCTTTCTCCTTTCCTTCCTTCCTTCCTTCCTTCCTTCCTTCCTTCCTTCCTTCCTTCCTTCCTTCCTTCCTTCTTTATTTTTTAAAGATAGGAGATGAAAGGGATTGCTTTCACTTAACAGGGCAAAGCAGGTAAAGAACAAGAAAGGTGATTCACTCAAGGCTGTCTTAATTTCCTTTGTTTGACTGTATCCCATCACCACCACCAAAATGCCTTCTTTAATGACAAACAATTTCCTGCTACACCAGATTCCAAGACTTTAATCCTTGTGAAGGGGCATGCAAATGCTAGATTTGTAAGTCATATGCAATTGTTTCAAGGAATTTTTATTGAGTTTCATTGGACATGCAGGCTAAAATGCAATTTCTGGCTTTTATTAGACTTTAAAAGTCTATGTTTCAACGAACTCAACAAAGGAAAATTTGGGTGCAATACATAGCAGATGGGAGGCAAGACCATCATGTAAGACTGTACTGGTTGGACACTGTTCAACTCTAGAGAGAGTCATTCACAAAGTCTTCAAAATGAATAATGTCCCTGGGAGTTGTACCTGCTTAACAGTTCAAGACATTCTTTGCTGAAAAAAGCTTTCTACAGAATTATTATAGGTTAAGGAGACCTGGGTGGCTCTGTCGTTTGAGTGTTCAACTCTTGATTTCAACTCAGGTCATGATCTCATGGTTCGTGGGATTGAGCCCTATATCTGGCTCTGTGCTGACAGTGCAGAGCCTGCTTGGGTTTCTCTCTCCCTCTCTCTCTGCCTCTCCCCTGCTCACACTCTCTGTGTCTCTCTCAAAATAAACA